GTGACATATATTATCAATAGTAAACGAAATCTGAATACTGCTGATTAGCGAACGGTAAACAAGCCGACCCCGCGCAGCGTACCACGCCTAATGAGGCAGTAAACGTTTACATAATCCGGGTGACTTCGGGTCTAACATCATGTTGGTGCTGTAAACGTTTCCATGTTTTTCGGAGGTTCCTATTATATGAATACGACTGATAACCACGATTAAAGATAGTACTATCTTTAATCGTGCTGTTAACGTATAAAACGAATTGTAATTTGTAGTTGTTACTAAACGAGTTCAACATTTAAATTTGAAGGTATATTTTTACATAATCTGTGGTGTAGCCCTTGTAAGTAACGTATACTCGGTTTTTTGTGGTTTTTATGGTACCTACATACTCGCGTGCTCCTGTGTTGGTGTTATTATACAAAACATTCCCAGTAAGTTGAAATACAAAATACCATATTATTACTCTTGCTTACATAATTATAGATGATTTTAGAATAAACTGCATGTAATGCTTATTGCTTTAGCTTGTTAGTTATTAGGATTTTAGTCATCAATCATCATGGATGGTCGTAAAAGACTGAGTGGTGCAGCTTACAGAAAAGCAAAACATTTAAAACAAGCAAAAAACAAGGCTGTTCTTGATAAATGTAGAAATATTGCAGATTTGTTTAAAGCCAAATCTCAAAGTAATGATTATTAAATTATTTGTTACATTTCTTTATAGCTTGAAGTTTAAAAAAAACTAAATGCATCATGGGAATTGCATTAACTGCATTTTGTTTTTTTATTTAAGCTACATATTGTCATATTTATTAAGTTTATATCATGGCATTTTTTATTTTTATACATATTGATTAAGTGTATATCATGATATTATTTATTTTTATAAAGCACATTTTTATTTTCTAAGATAACCAGATTAACCCATCAGAAGTCTTGATGCCAATTGTATCGATAAACACCGAGGAAAATACTATCTATAACCAACAAACATCAGCAGAAGTTTCTTCTTTGTGTACAAACCCATCAGAAGGTAAATTTTAAATTACTTTAACTTCTCAAGTAATTGATTATTATTGCCATGTAAATGTCGCATTTATGTCAATGTCCATTTCGTGAAATGTACGATAACACGATGTGTATGCTACATAAATATAATTCATTTCATTAGATAACTCTGTTCAATTGGCAGATGATGGAGCACCTTATGAAGACAAGAATAATTATATTCCTGGGTTTGTTCTTTTGTAGTTAACATATTTTTTTTTTTTGCAAAAGTTTAAAATTTAGAAATATAAAATATATTATAGACCTGATCCTGCATTTTGGATAATCAATGACCATACCAGAGACTACATATCTATTAATGGATATTCACAAGATATAAACAGTCTAAATATCACAAATTCTAAGAGGTCATATAAAAAATTGTATCGAGGAGTTTCTAACACATACTACAGGCATGTTTATAGATACATTATTACTTAAAAAATATTAAATTTTTAACTGTACACTGCTTTGTTTAGATATTTTAGTACAAGTTATCTGCAGACTACTCTGAAAAATGGTGAAAAAATAAAGCGTCTCTATCTGGCGTACTCTGAAAGTAAAGGGGCACTTTTTTGCGTTCCATGTTTGATGTTCGGAGGAATATCTGCGTTTGCTTCAAAAGGTTTTTCAAATTGGAAAAAAGCAGAACAACGCATTGAAGAGCATCATAACTCACCAAAGCATCGATCAAATATGTTACTTATGAACGACCGCGGAAAGAATAAAAATGTTATTAATCAACAATTGATTCAACAGATTGAAAATGAGAGAACATATTGGATAAATGTTTTGAAAAGAGTCGTAGCCGTAGTAAAATCACTATCATGTAGGGGATTACCATTTCGTGGTCATGACTCTAACATAGGTAGTCCCCATAATGGCAATTTTTTGATGGGACTTGAACTAATTTCCGAATTCGATCCATTTCTCTCGGAGCATTTAAAAACATATGGTGGTTCAGGAAAGGGAAAAGTTTCATACGTCTCATATCATACATATGAACAGTTTATTATTATTATGGCAAACAAGGTAAAAAACATAATTATACAAGAAATTAAGAATGCAAAATACTTCTCTATCAGTGTAGATTCAACTCCAGACATTAGTCATATGGATCAAATGTCATTAATTATACGATATGTCGATGAAAATAGAAAACCAGTGGAACGATTTTTATGCTTCTTAGATAATGTTGGCCATAAAGCTGAACAAATGGCTGGAGTGGTTCTTTCAACAATTGAAAGTTTTAATTTGAACATTTGTAACTTAAGGGGACAATCTTACGATAATGCCAGCAATATGTCTGGTATTTATTCTGGTCTGCAAGCCAAGATTAAAGCTGTTAGTCCACTTGCACAATTTGTCCCCTGTTCAGCTCACTCTCTAAACTTAGTAGGCATAAATGCTGCTAGTTCTTGTAAAAATGCAG